TATCATGAAAGAGGGAGAAGAATGGGGGGCTTGGAGCCCACCCCAACTCACTCTGCAGCAGTTCCTATTCTATAGCACTGGGTATTGAGTGTTGTGAGCTGACCCACATGGCCACAGTGCCAATCAAATTTGTCCTTCTGTCTCAATGCACTGCATATAGATGCTCCAAAACTGAGAGCACTTGGGTCAACTTGCAACGCCCAAAAGGTGGAGCCCTGTAAATATCCGCATTATTATCTGCGGGTCCATGGATGTGGATATCTGCAGCTAATTTTTATGGATACAAAATGTGGGGACATGTATACTAATTTTGTATCTAGAACCCTACAAATTTGCAGATGTCTGCTTTATATCCACAGGTATCTGCAGATGTGATTATATGCAGTTCATTTTTGCAGATACAGATAAAGATATAAATTCTGTATTCATGCAGGGCACTACTAAAGTGGAAAGATGCAGCTGCTGCACTAGTCCTAGACTGTATTTAAATTCAAAATCTAAACCACTATTCCAACACTAATAATATTAGTAACAGCATGTGTCTATAGTGCAAGAAAATTACGCCTTTATTATTACATACAGTTACTCCTTGAGCTCAGACATAAAGCAGATATATTTTAATGTCAACTGGACAATACAACAGAAGTTTCTGACCTTGGTCTAGATTTTGACAATAGCATATACCTGGTGCTTTTGAGGTAGCTGCAGAGGAGGTAAGGACAAGAGAAAGGAAAAACCCTCACACAAATAAATAAGGGCTATCCAATGTAAGGTTCCTTCTGAAAAAGTATATTTTATATTAGTCACCTGGTCTAGCAGCTCCTGAATATACATTTGTTTAGGAATAGGTCTACTCCTGTCCAATGTTTGTATTTTGTTTGACATATTTGATCTAACATATTTACCAACACAGTCTTGCCTGCAACAATTCCATACAAAACTAACTATCTTTTAAAAACTAAAATGTTAGCTGATAAGTATAACTACTCATTCAGGGCCTAATACAAAGCACATGGAAGCCAATGGGAGTTTTTCCATTGACTTCAACAGACTGTAGATTAGATGGTCAATGCCTAAATGTCTATATTGAAAAACATGCTGCATACATACTCTTAAAGGTCCTTTTACTTGGTCATCTTGCACTAACTGAGTTGAATTATCCTGTTTCAGGATCACCTGAAAAATATTGTATACAGAGATATATACATTTTACTTTCATACTACCAAAAAGCATACACAACAATCTTCATGAAAAACATCCCAAAAACTTTAAAAATACGACCATGACCTATCAAAGTTTCTAACATTATTGAATAGAAATGATATGACAGTACTCAAATTTACAAGGAGCCCAGATGCCACCATCTGAATTCCCAAGTATATACCAATCATTCAATACCCAACCTGATGAATCAGTTAGAAGTAAAGAGAAGATCTCCTCTATATCAAAGTTCATTAATACCAAGAAGAAATGTACAATTTTTATACAATTATGAAGTTGGACAACACCCCAATCCTGTCTTTGCCTGCAGTGGTCCACGAGGCTACAGGCTTCAGAGTTGTATTTCTTTTTTGCATCATCAGTAATATTCACTATTTACAAATCCCCTGTATTTCCACGGCAGAAAATTTCCCACAGAATACACTCTTTGCTGCAGAATTGTTATACAGAATTTAAGGGCCTGACAACATGGTAAAAGGAAGCAACATAACTAAAATCAGTTTGTAAATCACACCTTTAGTTATTTTGATACTAGTCAATATGTGGACATTCGTTAAAGTGCCCACATACAGACTTGCATACTAAAGTTGTAAATTTAAACCAGTTTAGTTTTTTAAATTCTAATTACTGTGTACATAAGCCTTAATTTTCCTTCCATAAAAACCATACTTTCAGTTCTCATGGCTGTGAAGACAACCTTGATAATATGTTTCATAGGGGTAATTGAGTTAGTCTGCAACTGGAAAAACTTAAAAACCAACAAATCATCTTGGATACAAAATTTGCAGGGCTCTAAAAATACAGACTGAAAGTAAACCACCACAATGGTGTTTGCCATGGTCTTCAAAGAGACTGCCAACAAGAACTTCAAGAGATGTAAACTGGGTAATTCATTTTCATGGGCTGTTAACTTTGATACATAACATGAATTTAGGATGTCAACATTATTATTTTACTGTTGTTCATCTTAACAGATAAATCTAGCTAATGCATTTATTTTACAATTCCAAAATGCTTCCTACAGCTCTGCATTTTACAAGGGTCAATACCGCTCCCTTTCCATCTACCAAAATCTCCAAATTCCTCACAAACACTTCTACAATGTGTTATTCTAATGTTGATATAAAACTCTGTGGCACATTAAAAATGAACATGAGGACACAAAATTATCTACAGTTAAAATTAAAAGTGACACAGAAGCTACTGTACAGATTGTATTATTTATTTTCTTATTTAAAGAATTGTATGCAGACAGACTCGTGTGCTTGAGATAAGCCCTACTGAACTCAGTGGGACTTGGCATAGGCACACGGTGTGTCCACACACACCTAGCTACCTGATCAGACTTAACTAAATTAAAAGGTCATTGGGGAGGGAGGAGGAGGCCTGCTCCGACATCTGGGAATGTGTATTAATAAATTAGGTGCCATGATGGCACACATCCAAACCAGTGCACATAAGCTCAATATTGGAGCACATGCCAAAAACTCACTCTGCTCATGGTTGGAAAATCTTAGAGGGAACACTGGTAGTGACTTGACTAGTCGTTTCCCGCCCCCTTGCTGCCTCTATCACTTAAAAGCTTAAGATCACCATTTTCCCGGGGGGCAAGCAGGCAAAGGCTGGAGGGTAAAGGGGAACCAGACGCTGAGCCTCTGTTTTTTAAATGTATTAAGACCAGGACTGGAATCTAACCCCACTGCGGCTCTGCAATTTCCCCCCTTATCGACTAATCAAGTAGTTGATGGAAATTCCATCGACTATGAGATTAGCTGATGAAATGCAATTTAACATCCCTACCTCAGACCCAAATCCTCTCCATTAATATCCTAGAAAAGTGGGCTTGTGACCACTTACCAAATTCTTGGATTGGTTCCCTATCAAAAGTTATTTCCACCCCTTCTGTATAACCATCCATTCATTAATTTTAAGGGGTACAATTTTCCTCAACAACCCTTTTAAAATACAGATTTTTTAAAGGAAAGCAATAGCACTATATATATAAAACCTACCTTAACTTTCACCAGTCTTTTCACTGTCTTAATCTTTGCCTCACAAAAGGCACCACGGTACTTGGCACTGACATCAGTTCCCACTGTCAGGTAGGCAGGTTCATCTGCTGCCTAACAAAGGAGAATAAATTAGAAAAACATTTAGGCTTATGTCACGAAAGCAAATTTCGTAAAATAACTGTCTTTATAGTTGCATCATGTATTCAAATATACACCCAAACTTTAGTCCTGTTGACCATTTCTTAATTAGGTCATAAATAATGCTCTATGCTGCTTCCCAATATTGCACACAGCCTTATCTTTCTTTACAACAAGATTTGACAGTGCAAGTAAAATGAGTGGTGAAGATTTTTCACATTTAATTATTTTCATGTCCCCAGTTTGCAAGAATGTACTAATAGTCATTAAATACTGAAATGCTATTTAAAATAGCAACTTTAAAAAAAAGAATTTAAATAACTGATGATGAAAAGTGAATAAGAACAAACAATAGTTATGGTTTGTTGCACTATTTTGCAGCATACACAGATCACTATGGCCCAAAGAAATACATCAGTTTTGCCAGTAAATGTCAGTGTATTTGGCTGGCTAAAAAGCTTACATCACACCGAGTTTATGGGTAAATTTTTTGCTCAAAGAATTCTGACCCTCAATTTTATCAGTCTGACGACTGTCTCAGGAATATCTGTTCAATAACCTCAAAGAGAACTGAAGCATATGTTTACAAATAGAGAAAGAAACATTAACATAAGGATGAATATCAACTTAATACATTCATATTGTATTGTTTACAGAAAAGCAATATTTCAATTGGAATGGAAGCTGCACCTCAGACAGCTGCAATTTCAAAATACATACAATAACCAAAACCTTTAGATTTCTGGTTTTTCTGTGAGGAAGAAAAAAAAGAAAAAAAAAGGCAGTTCATGGTGTGCTCCACATCAGATTTTCTGAAGGGAAAAACAGCAGCAACAGATCCTCAGAAAAGTTTGCTATAACCTTTCAAACAAGTATCAAATGTAATTTTTGTTCCTTGCAAGGTCTTTGTTAAGATTTATTTTTCTAAAAAAGATATGCAAGCTTACAATTTTAAGAACATCTGTCTGTACCTGTACATTATTATTGTACATTTTATTTCTACATTACTATGTTTAAAAAAAAACAGTCACAGTAAAAAACAATCAAGAAATGAAGAAATGCAATGACATATTTTGTGTTCAAATTATTTTTGCTCATCTCTGCATACAAGAAGTGCTTCCCTCCGTGTGACTGATCTTGCAACTGGTAAGCTGTCTTTGCACTGTAAAAACTGAAACTGCTAAGGAAGGATAAAAACTGTGGTTTTGCAAACTCACAAAAGCTATAGCCAACACAGGAAGCATTTAAAAATAGTACTCCAAGTGACAAGTCAAAGCCATCTTATGTGTCCAGAGTAGTGTTACCACAGAGGTGAGGGATTGGGATTAGGTGCCCTGCACTGAGTGTGAAGAAATGGGATTTCATTCCATTCAACGTGTGTGGATTTCCACAGCCAACTTTTACTTTGCTGCTGTTCAATGAAGATGCAGTGATTAAAAATACAGTGGCTGGTTCAAGTAGGAAGAGACAGAGCACAAATGCTTCCCCCTCCTCCTCCATCCAAGGACCTAGACTTACCTTCATCTTTGAAGGTTATTTGAGGGATTCCAGCTCAAAGATATCTTCTGACCCTAATTATACTGAAAAAAACCCTAGAAAACAAGAGAAGGAAGATGATCAGACACGTCTGCCAGCCTACAAAATTATTAAAAGGAAACAGCTTGATCTTAGGAAAGCTGCAATTCAGCTCCAAGCATATGGTAGATTATTAAACACACTCTTCCACATTGTATACACACACCTCCCTCCACCCTAGGAGCACACCCACCCCTTACATCCCTAAAGGAATTCCCTCCACAGGAAGCCTCTGAGCCCCACTTGCTGCCCTGCATGTGCAGCTGGAGGGGATAGCAAGAAGTGCTGAAAAGGGGTCCTTGTTGGGAACAAATGGGCCCTTGGAGGTCTGGGCAAGGAGCCGCTACTACCTCCTTTTCCGTCCCGCTTCGGCTGCCTCCTGCTGCTCCTCAGCCCCTCCGTGTGTCAGGACAAGTCGCCATTGCTCCCTCCGCCTTTGCACCATGTCAGGCAAGAAGAGGCTCCACACACACGCAACGCAGGCAAAAATAATATTAATACTACTCCACTGGAGCTGTAAGCGGCTCGCAGCCCAGCTGCTGGGACAAGGGCAGCTCCTGCGCAGCAGAGACAAGGCCCTTGGCCGCCTTCTTCCCCTCTCAACTTTCTCAAGCACAAGAGGAGAGATTACTCAGCCAGGACCTGACCCTCTCCTCTCCACCCCGCCTCCTCCGGCTATAAAC